AAAAATGACACAAATAGGACAACCAACATGAATAATTTAGAAGCAAAAAAATAAACATCATATCTAAACGCTAAAATGAGGAAGATTAAAGTATCAAAACCAATTCATCAATTAACTTTATATGTTGAGAATCAAGTAAATATGTTGGCCAAAAAAAAAAAAAGTAGTAGTATATGCTTTTGAGTGTGAGATGGCCAAGAATTTGTTGAAGTCAATGCTTAAGAATGCAGACCCAGCTGATATGATGAAAGTAATATCTGTATTAAATTATTCACATGGCATGGGCAATAGACTTGATTTGGTCAATATGACATGTTCCTTCGCTTTGTTGATAAATGATTCAGAGAAGTCAGATCCCTTTGTAGAACTTTCAGTCCCCAAAAAAAAAAAACCTTTGTAGAACCAACAATCTAAGAGCAAGTCAATCATCTTGCTCTATTACATAATAATTCTCCATAATTAATTATTGGATTAAGGTGCATCTTGCATCCTGATTTTATTTTCAAAGTGTATCTAATACCCTAATTTTTTATATGATGCATCCACTATTCTGATACTCCCTCCAATCCTAAATATAAAATCCATTTTATAGTTGTAAGTCTTTTATTTAGGACCGGAAGAGTATTAGAGTCTTAATTTTTTAGTACACTAACATCCTAAATTATTACAGTGCTAGATATAGTCAAAAAATAAGATCAGGATATCTGATGGACTTCATTAATATATATATATTGTGAATTTTTAACTTAACAGAAAGTATAATTAATTATTAGTTTTTTTTAATTAAAAGCACCATCACTAATCTGAGATTACAAATCAGATCAAATTTGCCATCTCCGCAACTTGCAAGAAAACACTAAAGCCATTGGCATGATGAGAATGCCAAATCTCCACTATACCTTATATCTGCTTGAATTGTTTTGTTGAGGAAAAAAAATGCTGCAACACAAAGAAGTCTAAGAGATTATCGGTAAAATAAATTTAATTTGAAGAGATTAAAAATTAGTTATGTTAAATATTTATGATAATAAATTTTATTTTTCCTAAAATATATTATTTAATTATTTTTTGATGGAAAACTCCTAATATATATAACCGATATGTATATTTGAAAAAAAATTATAAATTTGAGACAGGAATCCATCAATTAATTAACTGTTGACAGTGTTGTTTATCAAATTCATAAAATGATTTAAATTTTATATTTATAAATTGATGGAATAATTTGGTGACGTCGGCCAATTCTCCTAAACTATCCATCCAAAATACAAAAGCAGAAAAATTGCTACCTCCTAACTGCTTAATGATTATAATTACAATTAAAATATGTAATTCGGATTTGCCAAATGGATGTGAATAGAAAATTAGGTCAACATGAGCTGGCAATGGGGGCCGTGGTTTTATTCACAGGTCCAGTAATATGAGTCTGGGTACACATTAATTACTTCTAAACCAAATGATTATATTATTGTGATCCATCTTATCATTAATAAAAAATCTAATTAACTAATTTTAAATATATTAAACAATTCTAATTAATTAATTATAATTAATTATAGTAAAAATTATTTGATCGTCATAAAATATTTATATGTAACTTGGGTTATATATCAATTTATCAAGGGATAAGATGCTTAAATATCCCATGATATTCATGAAGGAGCACTCAACAACTAAAACTTTTTTTGGCTCTTATATGCCTTAGAGCTTTTATTTCATAGTATTTTGCGCTAACTGTTATCTGTCGCTAAGTTTATTGTTAAAAACACTAGTCAAATTATATAATTTAATAGTAGAATTTAACAACGGATAATGGTTAAAGTATTTTTGTTACGAAAATAAATTTTCAGGACACATAAGAGTAAAAAAAAAATTTCAGATGCTAGGTGTTCTTCTGTAATTCTTCCTAAGTATTCAAACACCTTATCCTATTTATTAATTAGATAAAGTTTGAAAAAAATGAATATGAAAAAAAATTATCATATCATATATGACTCATAACTTCTAAACTAAGAATAGGAAGGAGCATTTAGTATTCAGCTGCGTATTAATTTTATATTATGATGGGGATTGGGGCATATATATTAATATATCAAACGTGATTTCAGCCTAAAAGGGATCAGATTTCCCTTTTAAATTAATTTCTTCTTCTAAGCTTATCCTAACAAGCAAGAAACAAGGCATAAAAATAAGAAATGATAAACACACACCCCCTTACAGCAAAAGTGACTCCTGTTATGAATCGTGATGATGATTGATAAAAACTTCAAAAATGAAGTGAAAATTTTATAACAGAATATATGGGGAAAAAAAATCACATTTGAAGGTTGATGGACGAGTCAAGATTTTGAATCAGAACCAAAAAAGAAGGAAAATTCAAATATCAGATATTGAATTCATGTGTGTAAAGGCATAAATTGAATTTCAACTACATTGAATAATCAACTGCTTATTGATTAGTCAAAGTAGAAAAAATTAAACAGTTGCGTACAAAATTTATCTTCTTATCTTTTAAAAGAAAATTTTAACTAAAATACTTTTAGTCATCATTTGACAGGAATAAATAAATAAATTACTCACTGAAACCAAATAATAATGTATTATCTCCTATCATAAACATGTGAGAAAAATAATTAATTTATAAAAGAATTAGTTAAATTAATTATTTATAAAAAAACGGGGGTGTTAGTTTTCTTAAAGTATTTTTAAAAGTTATTTACATTAAATATTATTTAATAAAAAATCTCCGTAATATTTGCAAATAATAGAAATATTTTTTAAAGAAAATTAAATATTTATATTTATAATTAAAAGCAACTCCTACATTTATTGTAAGAAATAGTAATACAAAATCCAAGGTGGCAGAATAAGATAAATATAAACACTGAAACCACAAATCAGCAAGCACCAGTGGTCTAGTGGTAGAATAGTACCCTGCCACGGTACAGACCCGGGTTCGATTCCCGGCTGGTGCATTTCGAAGGGCTGTGAGGAAACTCTCGCACGTTCTGTGGTTGGTGTTCAATCACACGCGTCTGACCTAATTGGATGATTATCTCGTGCATCTGAGCTCTCTCTTTTGTCCTTCTTTTAGACATTCGTCTGTGGAAGAAGGAAATCTGTGCGCAGACGAAGCTCATATTTATTTTAGAATTGAGCCAACGTATGATAATCTTTTGCCCTACCACAAAACCTTCACAATTTAATTAGACAGGAAAGAAAAAATTGGCAATATTCTCGGTAATCACAAACCCATTTAAATAAGAACTTCACATCTTTTAAGTGAAGAAGTAAAATATATTAAATACTACTTTCAGTCTTTAATATAAGATCTAGTTAGCTAATTTGAAGATATTAAAAAATGTGGTTAAATTAGTTATTTGTTATAAATATGTATTGTCTTTTCTAAAATATCTTTACTAGTAATGTATATTAGCTAGAATTACCATTTAATGAAACATTTAACATATGCAAGTTTTATAAGAACTATTTTGAAAAAAATAGATAAATACGATGGACAAAGTGGACTAGGATATCATATTTAGGACTAAATTAAAAATCAAACAAATTTTTATATTAAAGATGAAAAATAGTAATTTTAGTTACCAAGAACCCGTTTAAACAAGAAGTTCACATCGTTTAAGTGAAGAAGTAAAATCTGTTACTGCATTTGAAATAATTCTGTAGGTCAATTTGACGAACACAATTCAGGAAGTCCCATTGACACAAAAATTGTAAGCATTGGCACGACATTATCCGCGCATACCATTTTAACTACGGAAAATTGTACGTGAAAAATAGTCATTTATTATAAGAACGGTCAAAATTTTATGAAGTTAAGAACAATATAAAAAATTAGTACTGATGATGAAGGGCTAAAATATACTCATTCCATTACTTTTTATAACGAAAAAAATAATCATTTCTATCTTATCCCAGTTTATAAAAAACATTTGGAAGATATCTCGGACTTTTTTTATTAATTTTTTTATCTTTTCTCCATTAATTACTTACTACTTCTAGTCCTTAATATAAGAGTTCGTTTGATTTTTATTTTAGTTTTAAATATAAGACCTCAATATATTTTGTTTTCTATATTTATCTATTTTTTCAAAGTAATTCTTGTAATAATGACAGTTCTAGCTAATACATTTGACTAATAAGGATATTTTAGAAAAAATAATACATATTTATTACAAATAACTAACTTAACTAGTTTTCTTATTCTACTTAAATTAGCCAACTGAATTTTATATTAAGGACTGACGGCAGTATTTTATTACTTACTATATTTAATATCTAATTTCTCAAAATATCATTCTCTTTATGTTAATAAATTTTTATTCCTTTGCTTATACTCTCTCCTCCATAAATAAATATATTTTTGAAAAAATTATAATTTTTACATTCTTATTATCTTTAATTAATTTTAACTAATTTCTGATCCCCGTGATTTATTCAAATGTTGCATAAAAAACTAATGTTTCATAATTTCCCATTGATTGGACTCTATTATACGAACTTTGTTGGTATAATTTTTTTGTGTTATATAATGAAAACAGTTGGTATAATTTTTTTGTTTTATATAATTGATGTTTTCATTAAAAAAAAAGAATTTGTCGCAAGAGTTAAAAAAAAAAAGGGAAATAATGAAGGGTAGTTGGGGAAAGTGACCAACATAATCATAAATTCACAATTCATCGAAACGATTAAATGCGAAGAATATTTTGTGCTTTGGAGACAGCTAAGAAAACCCAAAGCAAGCCGCGGGGTATCTGAGTACAAAATAAAGAAAGGCAAAAAAGATACAATAACAGCGGAAAAAGCGTGTGAGAGCGAGGGCATTTCCGTAATTGTATTGATGAAGTTACTCAAAAATTTAATAAAGAAGTGGCCCACAAGGCGCCCCCCCCTTTGCATATAATCTGCCAGGACGCCATTGCCCAATCATCGTCCAGTACGTTTCCAAACAGCTATTTTCTGTTGGCTCTTAGCTGCCTTGCTCTTCTCGTGCCTCTCCCCTTCCTCCTTCGCCCCACTTGAATATATTTCTATATATTTACACACACACTCACGCTTCTATATTCTGCTTAAAGTGCTGTTATTCTTTCAGTATATCCATTCCAGATTTTCTGAATCCTCAAGATCTGAAGTCGCTCTCACATGGAGGATCGTAAGGAGGTAAGTTATTGTCTGTTTTCTATTTCTCTCCGTTCTTCTTTAGATGTGTTTGGTTGCTGAGAGAAGCAAGGGAGGGGAATAAACTCGTAGAACTGCATGATTATAATACGGACATAAGAATCGATGTTGTTGTGTGAGTGTGTTGTGCGATTGAGGAATTCTTCAAAATGAATCGATTAAGAGCTCTGCTGTCTGGCATCATCGTGAATCTGGATAGAAACTTGTAAGGTTCCGTTTGAACTGAGCCTATTTAAGTTCCGACAGAAACGCCTGAAAAAGCACCTTGTTATTGGTTTTGAAATTAAGCTTGCTTTTGGAAGCTCGCGTAAATGAATCTTTGAAAGTTCTGTTCGATATTTTGCTCCTTCTGAAGCCTTGTCCCTGTTATTCAATCTTCATTTTAGTAATTAGTAATTTGTTCACGCGCCATCAGATTCTTGTTTTTTTTTTTTTTTTTTCGCTGTTTTTCTTTGCGCTCCTTATACTTTTCGCCGTTTTACGCTGTCAACAATAATGGATGCGAATAATTGTCCAGCTATTTTTGTTTTTTCGACAGAATTTTCCTGCTCAGTTCAGTCAATCAATTTATTTGTGTTACTGTTAATCCTTTGACTAGACAACGTCAATGACGCATTCGTACAAGTAATGATACATTTCTCTTTAACTCTAGAACGTTGAAACCTTTTTTTTTAAAAAAAAGGTTGGGTTCTGTTGACCAAAAGATATTGACCTCTTAATTTCCCAAATACTTGTATACAGTGCTAGCATTAGCTGGTACGTATTGATGGTTTTTTGTGCCTGAGGCCATACCTTTCACTTCACAATGAGAAATGATATCATTACTTCTTTTATTTATCTCGTTCCCGTTATAACCGATGATCCATGCGCATTGATCCGTAGATTTAATTGATGAATATTTTCCTTGCAGAAAAATGCCCCCTGGCTATCGGTTCCACAGTTTGGGGATTGGGATCAGAAGGGGCAAGTGCCAGACTACTCAATGGATTTTTCAAAAATCCGGGAAATGAGGAAGCAAAACAAGACAAATGTATCCAGGGCGAGTCTTGGTAACGAAGAAGAACTCATGGCTTCTTCAACTGCCAGCATGAACACAGGCCACAGCATCCCTGAGCCCCAGCATTCCCATTACCATCGAAGCCACCACTCTCATACTGTAAGATTCTTCCCTCACTTTTCAATTAAAAAGTTATTTAACCCAAAATATGATCGTATTATCGTACAACTCGTAGTTGTAGCTACGAATAACAAAGAAGCATTCGCATTACTTTTACAGAAAATTAAAGAGTATTCCAAAATATGTGGCAGAGATGTGGATGCATTCCTAGAAATCAAGCGTCCCGTCTGTTGATTCATTACATTAGATCTCTTGTTTCTCGTTCTGATGATTGGGTCAATTATATTCTTTCCATTACGCGGTAAAATATGGCTGACCATTGCCCTTTGGGTACAATACATCAATGAAAATGACAATTTTAATAGGCTAATGGAAACATATTGCCAGACATTTCACATCTTGAATGTATTCTAAGGAAAACGACTGACTATCATATGAAGTTAAATTGAATTCTCTTATTGCCTTATTTTTTGCTTAATACTATACTACCTTCAGTCTTAATTATAAGACATTATCTGTAGATTATAAATAAGATCTTTATAATTAAAACCGGAGGCAGTAGTATGTAAGTCATGGAGCTGTGTTGGTGTAAGTGTTAAATTAGAGTTTCCGAACGGCAGTGTCAACCTCGAGATCCAAAAGAGAACTGTCTCAGGTCGAGGTTTCTGAAGGAATGTTTTGAGTGTAAAACAACGAGTTAATAAGCAGCGTACAGTTTGTCATATGCAAAGCTCATTCCGTATTGACTTCTGATGTTCTTTGACAGGCAAGGAGGAGCTTCTTCAGCTACTTCAACTGCTGCGTGAAAGCTTGATGTTAGAGGCGGTGTACATTATTTTTCTTGCCTTCTGTAGATTTGGTTAGAAACAATCACGCTTCTTCCCATTTGGTGATTAAATGTTCCCCCCTTTTTTTCCTTTTTGATCTTGAATGAAGGTTTTTCTTTCCCATTTGATCCTGTTTTTGTTTTTCTGTTCCCTAAAGTATTCAGAAATTTAGCTAAGCACTAACAGGCAGATAAAAATTACAAACATTAAGGCGCTCCTTGTTCCAGCTCGGCAGACGTCCGTGCTTATTGGTTGGCCATCTTCTGATAATGGCATGATATCGCTTGAGATTCAATTGTGTCTTGCGTCTCTCGCGCCACATTAATCATTATCTTTCATTCGCGAAAGCCCATACTTGAACTTTTTCCGATTCATTGTTCTAAAATCCGGAGGTTTCAGCTGCTTGAAAGTTATTCGCTATTTAAAACAGATTGAGCCCGGAGTCAATCTTGTTCATTACTGCCTTTGAGAAATTTATAATTTTTCGATCCTCCAAACGAGGTAATCACAGCCTGCAGAACGAATCCTTGGATGTTTTGTTGATTTACATTTGACGTTTCTTATTTCATTAAATTAAATTCATTGTTAATAAAATTACTTTTTTGCACAGTTTATTTTCTCTCCAAAAAAAAAACTTGTATCAATTTTTTTTTTTATGGTAATACACTTGTACCAAAATTTAACACCAAGAGCGTTAAAGAAGTTGCCATCAAGCATAATCCACAATCTGAATGTTGAAGAATGAGACTTGAGACTGGACACCAAATAATCAGGAAGCAATAAATTAGGTTACGCAGATAATTTTTTAGATTAATATAAATTTTGGTCCTTTAGACCTACTCTTATTTTAATTTTAGTTTCTTAAGTTTCAATCCATACATTTTGGTTTTCGAATTTCTTTTCATTTAAAATATTAGTTTCTATAATTTAATAAAAACTTGGAGAACCAAAAATGATATTTTGAAACTAAAGACACTAAGACCAAAATGAAAGCACTGAGAAACAAAAAATTATATTAACTCTATTTTAAAAAAAAAAAGATATTTACGCCCTCTTTTTTTTTTAAGAACTCCACAAAAATCAATGATTAATTGATTAAGTGCCCGTTTGGATTAGCGGTGAACAACTGTGATTTTAAATAATCGTGAATTTTATAAGTGATACTGACTATAAGTGACACTAGTTAATCGTGATTTATGTTTGGATATTTTTTTTATAAGTGATTTTAAGAATTGTTTATTATGTTTGGTTTTTATTTATTAAAATCACTTATGGGTGTATAATTACTAAAAAAGACATGAAGTTAATAAAGCTGTTTACATTTTCATAATTATTATATTTAATAATGAATTTTATTAAATATAATTTAATAAATGACATTAATATTTAAATATTATGTTTATTTTAAAATTATTATTATTTAAAATCACTTACAAAATTTATGTGTAGTACAAATATTAAATAAAAGACCCCATATAAATAAGAGATGAATGAAAATATAAAAAAAATTAAAATAATTACTATTAGAATGAGGGGTAGATTAGAGAAAATTTAGTTACTAAAGATTTATCGGGATTTTTCAAACGCAAAAGCTACTTCTTATTGCTTATCCTAAAAGTGAGGTGGAAGGTTAAAATCACGATTCATCGGGATTTTATAAAAATCATCCAAACACCCTAAACATGCTTCATAAGCACTTATTTGAATTTAAACGGGCTTATTTGAGATCCTACCGCTTAACCAAACAGGCTCTAAACCAAATAATAGTGCGCGCGCACGTACTAATACTTAACAGTAATCACCTAAAATGAAAAATAGGATTAACTTCGTAATGTCAAATATTATATTCAAGTGCTTCTCTTAACCCCAAAAAAAAAATCACATTAACATAAAATTTTGGCACCACGATTGCTTCACGGCAAAAAAAATTGAAGAGGGAAATATCAAGGGAGGTAGGCATACGTAATATTGAGAACAAGAAAAACACTAAGTACAATTGAACCGTGCTCCAAGTTCAACTTAATTTACTGAATCCCGCCAAGGAAAAAAAAAAAGAATTTAATGAAAATTCTACGAACCAAAATGTCCGAAAGAAAAGAAAGGAATACTATGTTACCAACATAGCGAATTCTCATACAAAGATAGTGTTATCATTAGCCTAGCGTACTGTGTCAATCCCCTAATGAACTACTAGTCTACCACCGTAATCTTGTTCGGAATGCCTGGGACTTGACTGAATTTCGCATAGGCGTCAAAACTAACAAAGCCTCAGCTTAATGTCCATAAAAAAATTCCGACACAACTATGACACAAACCCACGGGACAACCCAGAGGATTTACAGGCATCGCTTGACCACAAAATAGCTCTAACTATACATCAAGCAGCACCATAATCTATAAAAATTTCCCCACTGAAGGGGGGCACAAAATAAGTGATGGGAATGCAACTGACAGACTCTGGAATCATATGTTTCATGAGATATTATTGCCCTAGAACACAATCCAAATTTACCTGGCTTGCTTTCAGATCACTTGTCATATATATATCATCTTCAATCCCTCGTAAACTATACTTTTTTGATAATCTGAACAACATCTTCATCTTCAAGTTCATGTTCCTGGAGATGCAAAACCCTGGTTAGCACCTTACATCTCGGTGTGTGTGTGTGTGTGTGTGTTTGTATCTAATAAGGGGATTTAGGCAGAAGGACAAAACGAGGAAGAGAAAAAAAAAGATGAGATAATAATTCAAGGGGCACGGACCTTGCCAACTCTTTGAGGCTTGTGCTTCGCACTCGAACCCCAAACCAAAGCACTGCATCAATAATAAGCGTAATCACATCACCATACAACGGAACCCCAAAAAAGGGCAAAAGCATTTGGAATAACAACATCAAACAAATGGAATTCAATATTAGCTGATGTGATCAAATAAATCAGAGTACACATAGATGCAGACATGCAGACATATAATATGATAAGAAAATCACATTTCAGGACCACAAGTTGATGTAGGGTTCGTTTGGTTGGAGGGAAAGGGAGGGGAGGGGATTTGGAGGGATTATTAAAATTCCTCCCCTCACCTCCCCTTCATTAAAATTCCTTCCCTTAAATGAACCAAACACTGCAGTAGACTCATCAGCCCATTAGTGTTCTCCTTGTATTTAGAAGTAAGATTGCACTGCAAAGCCGGAGCTCTCCCAATTACATTCATTAATCAATCATGAGATCCATTCTAATAAAGTATAAATGAGTGAAGAAAGTCTGAGCACTGCACAGATGACTGATAAACATCTGCAACCATCTTTGAGAGAAGGAACCATAAGTGAACAGATCTACATGAACAAAACTAATTTTCCACCCTTGAAAAAGAAAATCAGTGTAATGCATCATATACATAACAAGACTACTTACATGCTGGATACAGTTCACAAAACCCAACTTTTACACTAATAGCCCCTCATTCAAGCTAGCACGGAGAATTACTTGGCATTTTGAATACATAAACCTTAAGTAATATCAAATTTTGGGACAAGGTACTCACTATTTAAACTGTTTAACCATATCCTTGTGAATGCGATTGCAGAAGTCCTCCACTGTCCTCTTCTTAGATGACAATATTACAGGGTCTTCATAGTCAGGATTCATCCCTTTTGGCTTAGTATAAATACGAGTCAAATTCAGATATTCCCAAATTTTCTCAAGCAGACCATCAAGGTTCCACTCCAGGTGAGCACTACAGAATAAATAAATTTATAAACAAATTCGACCATGTATAAGTAGCATTTCTTTACGCAAGGCTATAAACAACAATTCAACCATGTAAAGTAGCATTTCTTTACACAAGGCACTATTATACTTTCTATAATGGCTTGATCAGCTTAAATCTAGTTCTCAACACTTTTACTGCTGAACGCAATAACAAAGCCAAGCTTTGGGAACATTCCAGATGCTAATGGTAGGTTCAATACCAGCATACAGAGACAAAACCTTAAAGGAAACAAAGATTTAGACAGTCTGTCACGCATCAGGGCATGCATACAAGGCTGAAGCAAGAAGATAATCTATGGGAGCATACCTCTTGGTAAACCAAATATCAAGGAAAGGAGAAAATAGATTCAATCACAATAAATCAATGGAAAACTGTAAATATCTTGAATATATTTCGGCACATATAAGGGACATGAGTAAATAAGAGACCTCAGAAGTCACACCCCTCAAATCAAATTATCAAAACTACTCAAAGAAATAACAACTTACCAATTAAAATGCATTTGAGGAAGTATAAAGAATAAGAACACAATCTGTTACAAATAATAATATTCATTTTTTTTCAACAAGAAAAAATACAATGACCAAGTGAACAATTACCTGATTGGGCAGTAATGGGGTAGTTTATCCAAGATCTCCAATTCCTCGAGTGTAATCTGATCAATCTTGTTCACGACATAGATACAAGGCATGTATACTCTACTGCCCTCTATGACATCTATCAAGTCATCTGCTGTAGCATCGTATCTGAGAGTAATATCAGCATTGTGAATTCTATACTCACTACATATAGCCTTCACGGTGTCAAGATCCAGAAGCGTATTGGTCACAGTTGATGTGAGATTGATCCCACCTTTATCTTTCTTCCTAAAAGTCAGATTTGGTGGTTCTTTATTTAACCTGTGGTTAAAAGATAAATTATCAATAAAATGAGTGTGATGCTGATCTTCCAAAGGAAAAAAATAGAAGCAAGAATATCTCAAAAGCCAAATATTTAATTCAAATGCATAGAATATAATCCGTATGGCTATTCAAATCTGAATGGCTAATGGCCAAATAAAGCCCAAACATTTATAGAAGACAAAAGTAAAATACATTATCATTATCAGAGTTAAAAACTAAATATGCACTGTGTTTTCACAAGAAACTTGTATTAAATTCACAGCGACTTACAGATCCAGGCCAATTACATAATGATAAGTTCAGTTCAATTATTTGCTGAATTTTTATCTGTGCTTTCAGATCGTATCCAAATACAACAAGGTGACTTAAAAATACAATTATTGCAATTGTTACCACTTAAGAGGAGTCATAACTCCATGCACATAAGAGA